AAAAATGGATTCTTGTATTGTGTAGAAACATTAGTTTGACTTTTAGCTATAGGATTACATAACATGGTATTCTTTGGCAATCGATACTGTAAAATATAATTTGGTATAAACCAGACAATTTGAAATCCTTAACGTATTTATCGGTTACGGTGGGAAATACCGTCAATTTCACATTCAGTTCCAGACCTTGATTTAATGTATTAGTTAATATTCTTGTTCAATGTTTCATACGTTGTAATAATATTGAAAAGGGAAATGTGATATAAAATATAATTACACAAATAAAATACAGGGTTATAGTTTTAGAACTTGTAAACGTAAAAATGAGTTATTTCCTCTTATAATCTCTGTGATATTTTCAACAAGTTTTAGATTAAATTTATTGTATACAAATCTTAAATAACAAAGTCAAGTAAAAAAGTAGACACTTATTTTCTATTAAAACAACAGCAATTTTGTAGTTTCACTTGTTGGGAATATTTTGGCTTATGTTATTTTACAATAGCCAATAATTCAGTTTCATATATTTTTCCAGATCTCTTTAAACTTTTAAAACTTAAAAGATAACGTATACGTTTAATTCCCGTTCAATGTGAATAATAATTTACTGACAATTTCGACTGGTCGATAACCTGTTTCGGGTAATTTTTTTTTTTGAATTATTAAAATTTTATATTAAGGACGGGAAGAAAGGGAGAAGTGTATTATTATCTTTAGTTATACAAAACAGATCATCGGCCAGTCAGATTTTCCAGAAATTGTTTACTTATTTAGTTATATAGTAATTTAACTTTAACCAACTGAAAAAATTTTGGTCGGGGGAGGCCTGATAAATCACCCTGTATATTATAATTATACGAATTTATGTGTATATTTTTTTATAATTATTTATTTAAAAAAAACCCTTCAAAACTATTTAATTAATATATTTGGCAATTTTTCAAATAATTTGAAAATTCAATTATTCTTATAATTTTTCATTTGAATATAAATATATTATCCGAATAATCACGAACGTGGAATTATTCGAATAATTTTCACTTGGACAATATGTGTTAGTCGGTCGATGAAGAAAACGTTCATCTAAATAAGATTAACGTTTTCTTCACAACCCCGGCCGTGTAGTATTGGACCGTAATTAAACAGTGTCCTTTGGCAAACGATTTCGATGACGACGACCTTCTTTTACGTGTCCATTGTTCGACTACAGCAGCAGACGCTGACGCGTTTTCGAAAAATTGCACTTCCGGGCCGGATGTAGTAAGATTCTCGTATTGAGTGTGTGTGTGTGTGTTTAAAGGGAAAAAAACCATCGTCGTTGCAGAGCCAAACTGGACGGGTGCCAACAGAATCCCTTTGACTCTGGCGCTTCCGCCGACCCTTATGTTCGTTTTACTCATAATATAATCTCACGTGAAAAACGACCGGACCGACCGACGGCTTACTAGGAAAAAAAAAATAAAAAAAAAGTACGGTAAATTTCTCGAGTGTCTACTCCGATCAGAGTGTGACGCGTTCAATGGCCGGGAAACCCACAAAGACCCAAAAACATAAAAAATATATATATATTATACCTATGTAGTAGATACATGCGAACTTAAACGACCGCAAAAACATTAACGCACGTCTTACCCGACAACCATGGTTGGCTCCACGTTTTAGCCTACATTTTCGTCTTTATCGCCAAGTTTGCTAAATTAAAACGTTATTGGTACTAATATATTCGTATTAGTTTTTAAACCCGTTTTTCAATTGAATTTTTTTTCATTTTAGGTTTTTGACACTTTTTATTTAAAAAAATGTAAACATTATAATATATACAGGTGGTATAACAACTATTATAAATGAATATTTCTAGTACACAATAATTCAATTATATTGTTAAACATGATTTTACGTTACACTGTCGGAACAGATGTAATGAGCTTGTGCAAAATAAATTTTCTATTTGCCTCCAAGTCTAACATTGCTTTTCGATTATTCTTAAATTGCTATATTAGTATATTACTAATATAGCAGTATTGTACGTTGTATAAACCAACACATGAATCAAACACCACTGAATCTTTTAAAAACACTTGTCTATTTTGTACCTAATTCTTAGTATTATATATCATATTTGATACGACAAACGATGAATTGAAAAATTGTACTGTTGTTGGCGTGCTTTGACATTTTAGTACTATCACCGAAAAATGACCAATATTTCAACTATGTGATTTAAATTTCTCACAATTTTTTTTTGTTTTTACCTCCCTCTTAACTTAGTATTTTTGTCAGCAACTATTGAAATTTAAATGGGAACACATACATTGCATTATCTGTTTTAATTGAGAATAACGTACTAAAAATGTTGACTGGTCGATGACCAGTTTTGCCTAACTATTTTTAAATTTATAAGAGTAAAAAACTTAAGACGGGAAGGTGCAGATCAAAATAATACTACACTTAGTAAATGTTTAAAATGTAATAAATTACTATGTTCACAAAGACATTTTAGTTAATGTATTTCAATATATTAGCTATAATGTCTTCAAACGATAAACTAAGAAATTGTATTTTTTTTATCCTTAATGAATCTTCATGTAAATAATCTATTTTGTTTACATTGCAAGCGATAGAAGTAATCCTTTAGTCATTCCTTTAAAAATTAATGCTCTGTACCTTATAAGAGAAATGTCTCAAATTTTCACTTATGTATTTAATTTATTATTTTATATTTGTCTGTTTTTATAAAAAATTTTAATTATTGTAAAACGATAATAATGCATATAGTAGTTATTTATCATAACTGTGTTATAATAAGAGAAACCCAAAATGTTTTACTAATAAAATGCAATGTAATTTAATGTAAATCCTTAGATCTTTAATACACGGTTATATGGATACTTGATAATTATAATGCTATCTAAATAGCTTGTTTAGATGAAATTACCATAATAACACTTACATATTTGGACTGTGCTGGTTAGGATTTGGCTAGTTTTTTTTATCGTGATAATAGATTAAAATAAATAGAATATAATTAGATAACAGTTAATTTGTTTTCTACAAAATGTTAAACTAAAAATCAAACAAATATTTTAAGGAATGCTATACTATAGAATGTTTCACTCAATCGCTATTAATATATTGTTTAAGCCGACGATAAACCGCCCAAAACGATTAGATTACACATCGGATCTTATTGTACCAATTACACTGTTACTTAACCATGCCGGCTTTATGGGTAGGTAAAATAGAAGAGACTTAATTGGATTTGTTCACTTGCTATCCGACACTGGTCGTTAACATGTTTCACGCCTATAAAGCATTATTAAGTCGGCATTTACAAAGTGCTTAGCCGTTTTGTGAGCTGTAGCTCCAAAGGACAACTTGCCACATTTGTGTTCCCCTACCGAAGTCACGGCAAAAGTTTCGACATAATTTCATATTAATTAAATTTCAACATAAACATGTACCTACATGCACGACTTTGAGAGCGATTTCGTGTTTTCTTGGTTATGGCAAAGGAAAAAATATATGCGGTCGTATCCGTTGTATGCACTTCTCTTGTATGTCAAATACCCTTAAGGCGTGGATCGAAAAAAAACACTTCAGAGTAGCATGACCGTTGACCCGCGAACCGGAAAATTATATCTCCAGTCGGATTGAAAAACCACAGTTGACATATTATTATATTAAGGTAAGACTTGGTGTTTGACTTTAATACTATAAAAATGAGAAAAAAAGGATTTTCTCTTTTGCCTCTCTCAAAACATAATACGAATAACAATATTACTTTGCTTGTTGTTTTTGAGCAAAGACATTTTTTTTTAATTTTCTAAATAAGATAATAGACTAGCAGCATTTTTTTTTTTATCTGGATAATAGATCAAAATAATTAATAAATATTACTTAAAACGTGTTTTGTAGCCACGTGAAAAAATGGTCAAGTCGACAACTATAAACTTTTCAAATATGAAAAGTTTTTTATTTCGTAATTTTGGCAAGGTAGTAATAGTAGTAAAATATAAATTACAGTTTAATTGCAATTCTATAATAACATTAGACGCATGGGTGATTGTAAAACCTACAAATAAGAAGTTTAATAGTCTAAACTACGCGCGAATAATGTACACCATTAATCATATAAAAAAAAAAAAATGAACCATCTGTGTAAAAAAATGAACAAAGTAACGCTGCAAAAACCTATTAGATTCTGATTTTTCGGTGGAAATAAAAGTCGCAAGAAGAACATATTATTTTGGTTTCGAAAGCTTATCAAGTCGATTATTTTCTAAGAATATCAGCTCAACAATTTTATTAAGTGTCTCTATCAATCTCTAAAATTTGTAATTACACTAAAACTAAAATGGCAAGACTATAATGAACTAAAAGTTATAGTGTAATAGGTCTTTCATAATGCAATTTTTTTGTCCATTAACAAAGTTTTTGAGCGAACGGTTTTCTTATATTTCTTTTACCAAAAATAAATAAAATTATTGCGTTTTAATTTATCTACATTACGGAGAGAATTCTATAATAGATTTCTATTTTATCTATTAGTTGACTTGAAGTTTACTTTGGAGTGTAATGAAAAAAGGCAATTTTTAAAATCATTTGCATAAGTCTTTACAAAAGTCACGTTTTTTGTGTATACAAACTTAAATAAAAAAAATATATATATATTTCATCAAACCAGTAATATTTAGCAAAATGATTCAGGACGTTCATCATAACTCAAAAAATTCAAAAACTACAAGAACAAATTTAATATTTTTTTTTCAAATTTGATTTTGATGTAAAATTAACTACTCGGATAGATAATAAACTACTAAGTCAAATATCATAAACTATTTTGTTATATTGTAATAAATACATCACGTAATATATCATATTTTTCTTTAATTGTCAAGTTGTTGTTTTTTTAGTTACCCACCATAATTTGTATGAGCAGCTGTAAATTTACAAAAATACAATTTTAAGACTGAAAATCTTTTGACATTTAAAGCTGAACTGTAAGTTATTTTACTTGTTTCTACGTATCATACACACTCAACGATGAATTGGAAACTTGTTTTTTTCTTAGCTTTTTTAAAATATATTTTAGTCATAGCACCAAGAACTAATAGAATTCAAGGAGAGGTAAATAGCCGATTATTGACTTTTAATTTTGTTTTTCATGCATGAAAACTATTTTATGTTTTTCATAAACGAAGCGAGGCATCGATATTCATCGTTAATAAAATCACAAAATAATATAGTTACATCACATTATAAAATATATTTCCTCATCAATTTTTTCAATGTATTAAATTATGATACAATTGTAGGTATCACTCTACTTTATTGAACACCATTTATTACATTTTTTTTTTAAATCAATAGTACATTTATATTGATTTTGCGTCAGCAATATTATATGATTACGGATTATTTTGATAATGAGCGTATGTGACTATTAATAAGTTTATAAAGTTACTCGCAAAAATATTTATATTTTGACTTATTTTTGTTAGTAAAATTAATTAAATAAATTTAAATACTCTATTTTAATACTTAATTTAAACCAGCTGAATTTACTGTTTTATAAGAAAAATACATGTAAATAACAATTTTAAGAAATCTGTATAAGTAATAGAATGTTTTAGAGTCTAGTAGTTGTGCATCAGGATTCCACTTTAAACCCATACGTCATGTTTTATGTTGTAATAGACGAAGATAGAAAAGATGTACAGGGTCAGGAACCATGATGTGTAATGTTTGCAAATTATACAGTTTTAATAAAAAAAAACCTGGAAGATGTTAACATAAGATTTGAGTAGTGGAGAATAGCACTCAAGAGAATCTGGGAATGGGAGTAAGGATTGGTAGAAGAAGAAGAGTGTTTCAGAGTATTTGGCGGTAAAAGGGAAAATAGAACAGAGTACTAGTGTAGCCAATGACAATACTTAGGTGAATGAGTAGAAGGACGAGAGAATGATACAAGGACTGCGGGCTTATGCGAAAACAATGTAGGGGATCGTATCGTGGAAAGGTTTAAAACACAGGTGGCTGACTTCAAATAGTGGGGATGAAGGCAAAGGTGAAAAATAAGTGTAAAAAAAAAATTGAAAACCACATATGCAAATTATTTTTAAATAATATTTTTTAACTTTTGATTTATTTGTTAATGTTGAAATAATAAACGTACATAGGAATACTTGGAAGAATTGTATGACGGAGATTTCGTACGTTTGTTAAATTCCATACGTACCTTAGCCTGGCACCCGGTTTACTTTCACGACTACAACTTTGAGCATCTTACAAAAGAATACTACACCAACGAGACTAATTTGAACGTCAAGAAAGTGTCTGTCAAAAAGTATTACCGGAAAATGCAAGAGATCCAGTGTGTTAACGGATTGTTCTTTTTGCATGTGATAAGGGAACTCAAATCAGGCATAAATGAAACACAAATCAGAGTAATGAAAAATTCACTTAAACAGTTAGCTTCGGAATATATGTTTTACCTGACCCGCATGTTGTCTATGTTGCACATTGCAAAATGGAACCCTTACCCTTGGCAAATCGAAATGTTTACGTTTGTGGCGGGTCTCAAGGGTTCGGACGCGAATTTTAAAAGTTACAGAGACCATTACAAAGAAAACCATAAACGCATAGAAATATCCGTGAACGAGTTCGTTACCCAATGTATCAAAGTAAAATATTTAATATCTGTAAGCGAAAACAGCACAGGAAAGACAGCGATTTCCCTTCACCAAGTCTTTGAGACTATGGACCTATGGTACAAAAACGATGACATTTTAGCCTATGCCTACGGTGTCGCTGACCACTACACCGCACCAAATCTTATGTTAACAAAACTACATTCAAGCCATGAATTCATCTACGACTGGTCAAGTTTTAGTATAGAACTCGAAACAAATAATGTCGAACTTCGTTTGACGGAATACCTTACGGAATTTGGACGCCAACAACTGTCACATCGATGGGAATTGGACCCGATTGGCGGTAATAAGTACAATGCTCTGATAGCGGAATGCATACACTTAAGGATAGTGTACTACACGTGGTTTCACTTATATACATACCACGCCTTACAGAGCCGACCGCCGGCCGTTAACGAATCAGAAATAAGAGAAAAAAACCTACTGCTCGGAATCTGGTACATGCTCGTGATTCCACTTAAAAATGCATTAAGGGCGTTTAGATTCGATGGAAATATCTACTGGTCTGCAGTAAACAAAATGATGGTCAACATTAACACGATTAACGTGGAAGAACTCGCGGCACGAGAACAGTTCACGAGAAATCATTTTTGTCAAGCTGTAGAAAATTTAGGACTCGCCAAAGCATCCGATGTCAATCGACAGTTAACAAAAGTAAAAGTGGAAAAAGACTACTTGACAATTGCTGATACCATCCTAGACAATGCCAATAAGCTACAGGATTACACTGATAGAATATTAGATATATTGGGCGAGAAAAACGGTGCTTTTGTTCGTCTTATAGTGTCTGCCGAAGGAAATAAAACATTTATTTCGCGATAGGAAATTTAAAAATAAAAAATAAATATTTTGTATTCATAATTTGTTTAGAATAAACAGTTTATAATATAAAAAATATTTCTTATTATCATTTTTTGGTGAAAGCTAACTATAAGTTCTTGAATTGGACACTAGTGTTTTTTTTCTGCCACCTCTTACAGTCCATGACTCCTTTTTGACTTCTATGGTGTGAATCCTATGACGAGTCTGGAAACTACCATTGTTTTTCATATTTCAGCCACACCACAAAGGTTTATATCTTAATAAATTGATTCGTTTCCTATGTCGCCCAGGATTTTAATACCAGTATAAAAACATATAAACCGTGATGTTGCTTAAATTATAGGGCATTGATTGCTGGCAGATTAAGTTACTGATAAAAACAATATAATGATCCGATAAAGTTCTGACTTATACTAACATATTGTAAATATACACTATAAATTTATACATAAGTTATTTTTCGATAATAATTTATAGTGATCACAGACTTTGTAAGGATATTAAATGCCCTTTTTAATTGTCATATTTCTTCCGGTTTTCAAAAACAGGTAACACATAAAATTCATATTTATGTTTTGCATCGTCCGATAGACGATAACACTATTACGAGTCATTATAAAATATTTTTAAATAAATAATAATATAAGACAAACGGTTCTTATTTACAGATTATATACCTATTCAAACACACCGACAGGGTATTATATTCTTTAAAGGCATCTAAATGGCTGCACTTATATGGATCTTGGAAAAAAACACCGTGTGGGTAAGAAACTTAGGAGTAGGTTTCTACTCATAAGTCACACATAAAAATAAGGAACCCGTTAAAATCCATTAATACCGTATAATATTTAGTTAGTAAAATATATATTTACTTCCATTTACTTTCATGTCTTTGTTATTTGTGTTGACTACAAATAAGTTAGGTTAGATTTCTTATTATTTCTTATTAATTGAAATTATTATTATTATATTTTTCATTTAATGTATTTTACTTGAAATTTCTGCATTCATTTCGATAAAGTTTGGCACATAAAACAGCATTGATATAAGATAGATAAATTGTGTTGTATGAGTTTTACTGTCAGCAATTTTCTGTTTTAGCTGTTCATTTAATATTAAATAATTAATAAACAATTTTATTTGAGTAGATTTAGCTTTATTATTTTATTGGCTAAAGATTTAGGTTACGTAGTACTATCGGGGGTTGTTCAACTGATGAGATATTTGAAAGTGGTGTGGGATGGATTAGGTTAGGTTCGGTTAAAGTGGAGATAGGATGGTAATAAGGAAAAATCTAAAACCCTGAATAACTAATAAGAGATTTATTATTTTAGTATATTTTAATTAGATTGAAGCCGGGCAAACAAGCAGCTAGTAATTTATATAGTAAGCGATAACTCTAAAATGGTGGTTTACAATCACAAATGTGCATAAGTTTTATGTGGAAAACTGTCGCGGTACTTTTTTAGTAAAAATTTTTTTTTTAATTTCGCTTTGTGCTCAAATAATTGTTTTAAATAATTTCCACGAAATAAAGACTTTTTGATTTTATTTGTTTAAAATTTAAACGACTTTATTAATAAAATAATACTATAAAGTGAAATTGCTTAAACGGTTGAATTTCCTAAAGACTTTAGATATTTGTTAACTGCGTTATAAAGAATCTCCAAAATAATTAATCACAATTAAGTTTAATAATCTTGTTAGTTATTATGGATATCAGAACTTTTAGTAATTATCAACTTAATTTCAGTCGCTAAGTCCGAGAGGTGATTCGAAGAACAATTATGTTGTTTTTTGGTTCTACTTCCAGCATCCTGCTGGCAAAAAAAGACTTGACATTTCTGTAAGAGTAAATTTTTCAACAACATTGGCATTTAATTTTGTTTAAATAAAGTTTTTTCGTTTCATTATAAGATTCTGTTCATAAAAATATAAATATACTGATAAAAACCTTTTGTTAGTACTAACTTACTATTTTTATAACTTAAAAGACATATTGTGTTATAATTATAGTGATTCTAAGGGCTTTAAAATAAAATATTACACCTTCAAAAATGTTTAATCAATGTTATTTTTTAAACAGCTGAATCCATTTATTTGGATTTGATATTCAGTATTTTCTTATTGTTATCTTTATAATTTTCTGCACTTCTTATCGCATATTTAATATTTGGAAAATAGCTTAACAAATTTTAGTCTTTTAGAAGAAACATACTGTTTGATATTTCCCCTTGTTTAAGCATAAAATTTGAAGTATTGACAAAATTAAACTATTTTAACGGGTACGTTTTACTAAAATTACTTAAAAATAGCAATATTAAATTAAAATTAGGCAATGCCTAAAGGTGTCAAAGTTAGTATATAAATTTGACAGTTATTCTGTAATGAAACACATTTTCGAGGATTTTAATTTTACGGAATAGTCGCACGACCAGTTGATAACAAGTACGATTTTATACACATACATTAAATGTATATGTATATTTATGTCAATTATATTAATAAATGTATACATAAATACAAATATTTATAAGATCAATATACTTACTTATAATAATGCATAGTTGTTAAAAATACATAAAAATTGTTTGCATTTAATGATGTACCTATTGATATATTGATGTTTAAAAGAATATTTGCTGTAAGTTGAATGCGAGAATTTTCCTACTTTTAAAAAGAAAGAAAAACATTTTCATTAATAAACACATAGTAAAATAACCGTATTGGTAAATTACAAATAGATAGTATGAATAAAAATAAAAAATTCAAACGCTAACATATTTTTACATTTTTTGCCTAAAAATTTATGGAATTAAAAATATAACTGTTGCTATTTAAAAAAAAACAAAAAACCCCCTTTTTCTTATACGTTTTACAATTAACAACAACATCACTTACTTCATATCATTCTGTTCTTCTTTTATTTAACTAAAGCCATCTGTATAAATGGCCGTTTTATTAATTTATGAATGTCATATTTTAAGGAAAGCATCGAAATTCAGCAAAATGCCGTACCTCACTTTTACTTTTCTATATTTCGTTTCTTAAAGTTATATTTCATGTTAAAAAAACGATAATATAATTTGGAAGATTATATTTTCGTTGGCCTGTTTCATGTTTTAGTAATAGCAGATTCGTAATCAGCATAAAAAGTACAGTTGATTAAAAAAAAATTCTTTGTAAAGAGTATATTTTACCAGAGACTTAAGTTTTTTATTTTTATTTTAAGTAACTTACTTTTTAGTTTGTACACTAGTTATGAAACAAATTTTGCACTACTTGCTTTGGTTTGGAAATTATTGACATTTAATAATTTTACATTGTGATGTTTACTGCCGACGTATCGCGTCCGTACGTTGATACTTCCAAGTAGGGCTAAGAATGTAATATCTTTTAAAACACCTGGAAATTCAAAATAATGTACTTGTAAAATGATACACTACTATACTTATTTATCACTTATGTTTAAATAGAATATACTTATCAAAAAATGATTTTAAATTAATCAATTATTAGTAAACGGATAAGTAGACTTGTTCCATATGTTGTCCAATGAAACCATAACGAAATTGCACATTAATAAATTCATAAATTCACACATCACTTATGGTTATATTTAGTAAAGAAATAAAATAATAAAATATTTAAATAAACCTTAACCACAAAACTAAAATTGTATAGTGCATCCAGTGCGTCTGTTGTAAAGGTTGATGACGTTATCATTGCTGTCGAAATACGTATACGCTTTAAAATTGTGTGGTTAATAGTTTATTTTAATATTTCACTATTTTATTGCTTTATCATAAAAAGAGTTTCTATTTTTAGAGTTCACATTTCCACGAAAATCAACAGGTAGTGTAAACAATCGATTAACAGTTATTACAAGCGAGTTTATTTTTATCATTTGATTTAATAAAGTTTTCATTTAAATTTGTTTTAGTCAAAAAAAAAGTTTCATAGAAAAAGTTGCTGTAAACGAAAAATTTGGTAGCCTTTTATGAATAGTTGTGCAAATTCCTGTTTAAATAAATAATGGTCTCAAAGAAACTACCACATAAATTGACATTTAAATATGTTAAAGGGCAATCTGGAAAAAGTATAATTTGGATATCTTAAAAAAAGTTTGTTATCTATTTTTATATGTTATCATAGGATCACGGCTACAGTAGTACATTTTTTTCTTTCAAATCCAGGAGTTTCAATTAGCTATGAAATTAAGTATAAATTTCTAAAAATGGTCTTCTAAGTTCATTTTTTAACAGTCGTCACTTTAAAAGCATACTAAAGTATTTATTGCTCCAGTGCAACATTATATTATAGTGTCCAAAATAGTAATTTTTAATATTTGAAAATTACTACTGCGGAAAGTTACAGATTTATTTCCTCTAAATATAATCTATACTCATTATTCTAAATTATGTATACCCCCTTTTATGATTTTTATTTTCTTTATCAAAACACGTAGCATTGCATTGTCGTGGACTATTTGATACTAGATGTATTAAATAATATTTTATAACATCTTATTATATTTAATATGTTATAGAAATACAATGTTAAAGTTGAAAACCTAATACATAAATCGAGTACAAAATGTGTGGAAAACCGGACCAGTACAACTAAGACAGTTTTAGCTAAAATACGATAAACCGACATAGTCTTAACATAGTACAGCATAAACCAGCGCTATATAAAGACTATAAACCATTACAGTAAACATTTTACTCTGCTACTAACAATGGGATAGCTCAATGAACGGCTGGTGTTTTCTTTTCGCTGCAAATTAAGCTATTTGTCCCTCATTTTTAATAGTGGGATAAAATCAGCTGTGATGTGTGCAGTTATCGACTAATGTGTAAAATTAGTGTTCTATCCGCGTGGTTTGAGAAATTGCTTTGACAAAATATCATTGATACCAGTCAACGTAGTTAATTCTAGTGGAAAACTAAGGTGTACAAGACTTAGTGATCCAACGTTGTCGTGGTTTACCTTCCTGGCAGACTACAGCAAGCCAGAATTGATAACTCTACATCTTCAATTAAAACTGTAGCGTCTGGAATACCCTAAGGTGGCCATTTGTCCCCTCTACTCTCTACCGTATTGATGAACGATCTCATTAAAGTAATCCGGTAATCTCGATGCATTCTCTTTGCGGATCATGTGAAGTTATTTTTAAATATTAACTCTTCTTTAGATTGCAATAAACTTCAGGAAGGTCTTAATAGCTTTTATTAACTGGGTGTACATTAAATGGCCTCAGCGTAAATGTCTCAAAGTGCTCCCAAATTTTGTTTATTCATGCTAAGTCATTTGACTCTTTTACTTATAAAACAAGTAGTGTATTAGAATAAAGTCAATCATGTGAAAGGACCTAAGCATTATTTTATTTGTTGATCTATCGATCCGTGAACATTTCACTCAGTTGTACAACAAAGCCCTCGGGTTTTCCGGTTTTTAGCTAAGTTAGTGTAAGGCGTTAATAAAAACACACTGTATAGTTTATTTTTAAGCATTTATTCAAATTGTAATTCATATTACTCATATACCATATTTTTCTGTGATTGTCTCATTGTGATTTCTTTATTTACAGACTATTTGTATAAACAGCAGTTGTAAGTGTATTTTATAATAATTCAAAACTGAACGTTTTTCGTCATTTAAAGCTGAGCTGTAAGTGTCTCTACTTGTTTCTTCGTATCATATGGGTAACACGCAATGATGAATTGGAAAAATATTTTCTTGTTAGCTAGTTTCAATGTTTTAGTCACAGCACCAAGAACTAATATAACTCAAGGAGAGGTAAATAGCCGATTATTTAATTTTGTTTTTTATGTACCAAAATAATTTTATGTTTTTCATATCCCCACAAAATGTTTTGCATTCTTAGCATAAAATAGTTACAGCAATTTTATCATATTAGAAAATAAGTTCCTATCAAATTTTGAATGTATTAGGTAACATTTTTAGTATAAACCTACTTAATAAGCTATTAATCGTTTCTAAAATGTATAGTTTTTCACAAAATAAGTAAAAACAATTTAAGCACTCGTATCATATAAATAAATGTTTTTGGTGCCAGCTTATACTTACCAAAATTATTATAGTGCATTATGTTATATTCACATCAATTTTTGAGTGTAATAAAATATAGGTCAGACAGTCATGTAAAAATTGCAACTCACTAAATTATTATAACGAGCATTTGTTTCTAGAGTTCGTGTTCCAACGAAAATCAACAGGTGAGTAAACAATCTGTTGGTAGTTATTATTTTTAATTTAATTTAACTGTCCATTGATATTTTCTTAAGCTAAATTTATTATTTCATAGAAAAAACACAACTTTAAGCCATCTGTGTGCATAATTGCACACATTTTTGCTCAAATATTTATTCATATAAAACGTTTTACGAATAATTTGTAACTAACCGTATAATTCTAGCAAAACTAAATGTGAAAAAAACATATTTATAAACACAACTTTTTTTATATTATCCATATTTTATGTACAGATAATCTATTTAACGTAAGACATATTTTCATTAAAAATAATTACGGTTTCTTGAGAAAATACCAAAAATTGGACTTGTTTCCTTTTTCAAATAACCCATTCAAATATTTTGGAGTTGACATACAATTTACAAAATTATAATGCACGATAAACATGTTCCCAGTAGTTTTCGAATTCAAAAAGCGTGGTAGGCTGTGTGAGTAACGAAAAAGAGTAGCCTATTGTGACCAGATCGAGTATCAGTGTAGAAAGTGTTGGGGAATATAAAAATAGACGGGTCGCTTGACTTCTATTATTAAGTGCTATTAGAGGGAGAAATGCCAGAAGAGTTTTGTAGTGCATACATTTTAAGGCAAGTGAGACGCTATACAAGAATGGGTCAATTATAGAATAATACAATAATTTATGATATAAGCCAAGTATGAAGATTCGAGTAAAGATTATAGAAAAGAGAATTAGAAGTAAGAGACCGATATTTATCCATAATTATATAATATTATAAATATTTTATCTTAAATTGTTGGTACGAACCGCACACCTAGATCAAAACTGTAACAACTCAAAAATTGGATATTTTTAGTTATTTGTACATTCGGATTCTACAAAAGAAGTTACATGAACCAACAAAACAAAATTTAAATTTATCTTGATTAATCTCAAAAATATGACGCTGTAGGTACCTTTTGTAAAAATGACCAATCCCATAATCCTAACTACCAAAACCGTTTAAAACTTAAGTTTCTGCCCGGACTGTTTTTATCTAGGTGTGCGAAATCTACTTGATAAATTTTCCTCGTAATAAAATTTATAGTTTGATTTGAAATTTTTCACAAATTTAGTAAAAACGATTTAAATAACCATTGCTTTTGGTGTGAAAATATTAGGGTTCTGTTGCATCAGAATTTATAATTTAAGAGACTAATTCTTAAAACAAATACATAAAAACCACACAAGCAAACAACATTTTTAAAGAATGTTTTTGTTAAACTTTTTTTTTCACATGATGAAAAATCAAATTTCAACAGGAATACTTGGAAGAATTGTACGACAGAAATTTTATACGTTTGTTAAACTTCATACCTACTTTAGCCTCGACGCCGGTTCACTTTTACAACTACGACATTGAAAGCCTTATCAATGACTTCTACACCAACGTCGTTGAATTAAACTATAAAAAAGAGTCCGTCGAAAAGTATAAGCAGAAAATGCAAGAGATCCAGTGTGTTAACGGGTTGTTCTTTTTACATTTGATAAGGGAACTGAATTCAGGCATAAATGAAACCAAAACCAAAGGATTGAAAAATTTACATAAACAGGTAGCGTCGAACTATATGTTTTACCTGACCCGCATGTTGTCTATGTTGCACATTGCAAAATGGGGCCCTTATCCTTGGCAAATCGAAATATTTACCTTTGTGGCGGGTCTTAAAGCTTCAAAGGCAAATTTTGAAAGTTACAGGGACCATTTCAAAACAAACTATGAACGCATAGAAAACACCGTATTTGCGTTCGTTACCCAATGTGTCGAAGCATCATATTTAGTACCACCAATGAGAAGTACGATACAGAGAGAAAACATTTATTGTCTCGTTGACAAGGTAGTCTATAGGAAAATTGATTTATTGTACAAAAACGATCAACTGCTAGCCTATGCCTACAGTCTCGCTGACCATTACACCGTGCCGAATCTGATGTTGATAAAACTACATTTCAACCATGAATTCATCTACGACTGGTCAGATTTCAATATAGAACTCAAAACGAAAAATGTCGAACTTCGTTTGACGGAATACCTTACGGAATTTGGACGCCAACAACTGTCACATCGATGGGAATTGGACCCGATTGGCGGTAATAAGTACAATGCTCTGATAGCGGAATGCATACACTTAAGGATAGTGTACTACACGTGGTTTCACTTATATACATACCACGCCTTACAGAGCCGACCGCCGGCCGTTAACGAATCAGAAATAAGAGAAAAAAACCTACTGCTCGGCATCTGGTACATGCTCGTGATTCCGCTTAAAAATGCATTAAGGGCGTTTAGATTCGATGGAAATATCTACTGGTCTGCAGTAAACAAAATGATGGCCAAAATAAACACGATTGACGTGGAAGAACTCGCGGCACGAGAACAGTTCACGAGAAATCATTTTTGTCAAGCTGCAGAAAATTTAGGACTCGCCAAAGCATCCGATGTCAATCGACAGTTAACAAAAGTAAAAGTGGAAGAAGACTACTTGAAAATTTCTGATAGCATCCTAGACAATGCCAATAAGCTACAGGATTACACTGATAGAATATTAGATATATTGGGCGAGAAAAACGGTGCTTTTGTTCGTCTTATAGTGTCTGCCGAAGAAAATAAAACATTTATTCCACGACAAGAGATTTGAAAATAAAAAAAATATATATTTTGTATTATTAATTTTTTTGTGATTGCAAACTAAATATACGTACTTGAATTCGGCACAAATGTATTTCCTGTACAACCTCTTACATAAGTCTTAATGAGTCACTCCTATGAAGAGGCTGGAAACAACCCTCGCATTCATATTTCAGCCAAGCTACACACAAGTTTATTAAAACTGGTATTATTATTAATCTAGTATCTACCGTGTACACCACGAGTTTCCATATTACATGTTAATTAGTAAAAATAAAAAATTAGTATGTACATACTAAAATGATGATATACAAGATATTATATACTATTATTATATGTTATAAAAGTTTTTATAATATAATATTACGTAGGTACTAATGCACTTTCATGAGGAAAATGAATTCACTGATAGGATAAAATCACAAAAATGTCTAAACAGGTAAAAATAATTACAAAATTATGCGATACAATATAAGTTTATGTGTCACTTTTTATTTTATCTAACTCCTGTAGACCTGTAACCTCCGTCCCCTCGTTGCTTTGATTCCATTATGCCTATACTCAGTGTATTAGTCATTTCGAATCAAATCACTCGTATGCTTTTTTAAAATTTTAAGTGTGAAGAAGTAATATTTTTAATTTTTACCGACCCAAAGTACCAACTAGATGAAAATTGTGATTTATAAAGTTGCTACTCGAAGAAGTTGGTCCAGTATTGAAAAAGTTACAGACACAAAAAAAGCCCACATCATGGTAAAACCAATAGCATCTCTGGTTTGCATCGAAGCTAAACATTGTAATACATTATAGAAATGTATAGATATTTAATTATTAGAACAATTACGTTAGTTTTTTTTAATCTTTTCAATATTTCAATAAATTGAGTGTTAACATATATACAAAATAACAATATTTTTAATTTGATAAGTGAGTTATGTTTTAACAACAATTAAAAGTATTCATATTGGTTAGACAGTGAGAATTAGTAAAAAAATACTCTGGGGAGAAAAATTATTACCGGCTACCGATGTGCACTCATTTATTTTATAACAATAACCTCATATCTAAATATTTTGAAAAAAATATGGTGTTATTATAAAGTACACAAAATTCGTTAAAAGTTACTGGACTAATTAATATACAATTTTCCTACATGTTCCCACATCGAAAATTACAGTTTTTTGAAAATGTAACATTATGTTTTCATATAATTAAGTAATTAGTGTTTTAAATAAATAATAATACTATGAAACCGTATGTTAAGATAATACAAGCTTATAATATTTTGTAAGTAAAATAAAAATACAGCAATTGAATATCACAAAATAATAACAATATTAGGTTTTTCTAAAATCTGCTTGTTGAAAAAAAAAAAAACCGAAACATGTGTTACTTCCCACGTGCGTACTTGTAGCAGACAAACTGTTCTGTTTTTTATATTAACCTAAGGACATCTGTATAAATGTCAGTAGTATAAATAATTGTTAAATTCATTTTAATGTTTTAATATTATTTCAGCATAATGCTGTACTTGATTTTCTTTTCACAATTTATTTCTTAATGTTATATTTTATAATAGAAAACGAAAATATGATTTGGAAGAATATATTTTGTTGGCGTGTTACATTTTGAATGTTATCTATTGAGTTCTTGAGGCAATCTGTTTTAAGACCTTTTTCGTTGCATACATCTATATAATATATAACATAATATATTATTCTTATCATTATAATTATTATTCGTAACCGGTTTGTGGCAGTGTAATAGTACATGTTTTCCTAATAGCATTGGATTATTATTTCCATAATTATATTATTACAATTTTTTTTTTGCACACCCTGTGTACATATTTACATATTTATAATACATTCTTTAACAATAGGGCAGGATTACAGATTACAACAAAGACCATGTAGGAGATACTTGATAATAAATAGAACAAATATATATATATATAACTTTTTACATACAATTTTTTTAATATCAATAAATAGGTATATTATTTATAATTCACTATTCTTGTATCTTGTTTAATATTAAATATAGTTGTCATGTTGTTACACAAAAGATGAAAAAATAATTGTTTTATTACTCAAGTAGTTTTCATGTAGGGCGTTAGTAAAATCACCTTGTAGAGTTTGTTTTTAAGTGTAAATTTCAATTTTAAAAAAATACTTCACATGAATAATATTTTTTTTTACGTTGTAAATACTAAATTTACTTAAATATAGCTTAAAAACTGAACGTTCTTCGGCATTTAAAGCTGAACTGTATGTGGTTCTACTTGTTTCTTCGTGTTATACAACCACACAATGTGTTTCCTTCAAAGGGAAATATGGTACTTGTTTGTTTGTTTTGTACTTTTAAGCTTAATTTTAAATTTACTTCTTAAGCTATAGGTATAAGCTATTAATACACAGACCGTAATTAAAATAACCGAAGAAAATCCACCTTGACATAATTAAGAAGCCTTAACACATATGTATTTTCTATCGAAAACAACTCTTTCTAAATTTAACCATACACTGAAACGCGTACAACGACAATAGTTTTTATAACTAGTATACATTTTCAATAGGGAACTGGTTTGATGCATAGTTTGTAGTATATTCAAATTTTTAGTTTTTAATTTTATTGTTATGATAATTAAATATTTTTTTAAAATAACAGAAATGTTGTACTTATGCTTTATATAATAATGGACCACATTTAATATTGAATAAGACAGGAGAGTTTTAACTATTCCATATTTGCATACGGTTAGTTATTTTCCAACGAAAATCCTGAACTAGCTATCATTTTTATCCTACTTACTTATAATGAGTAATTAGAACAATTGTATACATTTAATTACCTTTAAAAATAATACAAAAAGTACATTTTTTTAAGAAAATTTGTATTGAAAATATATTTTTTTTAATTTTGCATGAAGGTCGATATTAAAATGATTAGATAATATTATAAATCTTCCACTTTAGTCAACTAAACACCCATTACTCTATGTCACCTTAATTATAATATTAGACTGTGTGGTGTTGTTGAAGCTTAACGTAGTCATCATGACATAACACACTTTTCAATCAAAAGTCTTAAAAATGATATTACCCTTTCACATGAAAAAATTTTGCACTAGAAACAAATGCTTTATGTTTATAATTAACACCTTGATATATAATTGTAAGGTGTAGAGTCCAATTTAAAAAAAAATACCATAGTAATTGATATTCTCGAAACCATTACGCTGTTGATAACTCTGACATAATAATATTGGTTTTAAAATGATGAAATATGTTCCGAAAAAAAACGTTCAACCTAAATTAAAAAAGCAAATTGAATGTGTACAGTATTAAATTACCTAATAAACTAATGCTGTGTTGTAACAAGTTAAGTCCAAGAACGAAACGTCAAAAATAAATAAATTAAAAAATAATACATTTTACTTCTACTTAAATCTCTGGAAGTAGATGGGCTGGAAATATTTTTGCCAGTAGTAAAAATTGTATGGGGAACCCCCTGTATTTATCTAACTACTAGTGTCTGGCATAAGTTTTTTACGCATTAAGTAAGAATTATTAAAATCATCCTTAGAAAAATATAACATTTTATGTGCGTCCATACTGATGCGTGTGCGAACGCTTACATATATATTATTAAAACTACATTTTATAATTGTTTATATAGTTTGATGACTTTTTTTATACTTGTATTATAACTTATACTACCATGGTAATAATGGCCAGATGCGTTATATCATTCAATTAGAATGATATTTAAACCAACAAACGTCATTAGATAAAGACGTTTGCATAGGTAAAGTCCATAATATATTATACTAACCAAATGCAGTCCCTAATTTTTTATTTTATAATCCATACATAATTTTAGTAGTACTCCAGAGCTTAGACTATGTATGAAATGCTGGTTGACCGTTGACTTCCGAAGTTAGTTATAAAACTGTTTACTTTTGCATGTCTAACAATATTTATTTTATTATTTATAATATTATGTACTTTTCAGTAGTCAGTTCAAATGTTATAATCTGTATAAATAAATATACGAATGTAAATTATTTATATATTTTAATAGTTATCTATTGGATTAAATATTCTTTAAATATAGCAACTATATTGTTCATCAATCGTGAATAAACTATTATAGGCAGTTCTAGATTTCTCTGATATAAAACTAATATTTTTTCTTCTTTATTTTACATATACGATCTTTACAATTTTAGTACAATAAGTATATATGATGACACAGGTAAATTATAAACATTGAAACTTTCAATTTGATCATCAAGAATACTTTTTAATGTGGTTATAATTGCAGGCAAATTTTCGTTTAAACTTAGACATGCAGAATCTCTGGATGACCATCTCGTGTCGGAAAGTGATTTTAGTGTATGATATTTTGCCTTTATATTAGGAGTTCCCATCTATGTGTACTGCTTGAAAAACATACAAAAATGTTTTGTACAAATAAAAAAAATGTAGCTGCTTTATTATAGCATTCAACTGCATGCGTCCCTACCAAGTTGAGACGAATTTGAAGTGAAGGTACTTTTTGTTTGCGACGATTTTTTTTTTCTAGTTGATTCAATTAATTTTTCTGTTTCTGAAACAGCAGCACTCTAAAAAAAATAATTTTTGACAACGTGCATGATGATTTGGTAAGACACGAATTAAATTTTTTTAAATTTCAATGATAGAATTTGTACATACTTTGCTAAAAAATGAATTTATTTTATGAGTCTTATTAATCTCATACCACTGTTTTTTTTCTTTGTCATCTCTATTTTTTTTAAACCGTTGGCCACTCTTTTTACTTGACATTATAAATGTGTAATATTAATTGTTTAATTGTTGGTCAAATATTTAAACGTTGAAAAATTTATGTCAGTAAAAAATAATAACATTTAATAATAAAATTGGTCACAAGTCACAACTCCATATCACGACAAGCACGGACAAATGACAATAATCAATATCATTATAATCTAGTCTACAAACGACCAACTGATATTATACAACATAAATCATAATATAAGAAATTCTCCTGCCTATGTTGCCTATGCGTAAATCCGCCACTGATTGAAAGTGTGAAAAGAGAAGCCGTCCACTGACGACACTTATTAACTTCGTTTTTTAATAATTAATTGATAGCGAGAAGGTCTCTGCACCACTTCCGTTTAAGTCTTTTTTGTGGATTGTTGGGCATTGAGGGTAATGTGAGATTATTTACCAGGGGGTTTGGGTAATTTTGAAGAGAATTGTGGTAACGTATGTACTAGTCTTTGGCAACTTGTGTTATTGTTTTTATTTGTAAATAAATATGTAGATATAGTATGATTTGATATATAAGGTGGTGCATTAGTGATGAGACGAAGTATTTTATTTTGTGAGACTTGTATTTTGT